GAAACTGCTCACTGGAGTGGTTTACCATAAAGTGGGTGAGGGAAAAAAAAAGCAGGAATTAAATTGAAGTTAAAAGCGAAACTCAGTGTTCTCCGTACCCTCAAGAAGATGGAGCTCTAAATTTTATGGAATGATTTTGTGCTTAGATGGCTTGTTCAATTTTGTTCCTCCAGATGCTCTCGCAGATGAAGGTTTATTAAAGAAAGGGTTATAGAAAGGGATTAAACGCTTTCGCCTCTATTACTCGGAAATGAGAATATTTTGTTGAGTAGCCTTCGGGTACAAGCGGAGGCGCGAAGAGCATGCAGTGGCATGGAAATTGGATTGACAAGGGGGGGGAGGGGAGAGGGGGGAGGGGAGAGGGGGAGGCGAGGGGGGGGATGGCGTGGCGACCTTGACTGGGAAGCATGCATCGTGCGTAAGTGTGAATAAACAAGGTGGAAGGGATGGTTTTCCCCGAGGAAGGGGCCCTTCCTCGGGGAAAGCGAAGGCCGAGGATGTTGACTCGGGGGGGGGAAGGGTTCCGACATCCCGGAACTCCGGGAATACCCATTCCCGCTTTCCGCGGATTTTTTTTCTTTCGCGTTCGCTTGTTAATTGACTTCGTTGCCGCCCGGTGCGTCACTTCCGCTTCTCGGCCTTGTATGGCCTATTCGGCAGCAAAAGACGCACTTGGTCGAGGACAAAAGATTTGATTGATGGGGCCGTGAGAGGCAAGGAGCGTACATCTGCCCTCAGGCTGGTCATCGAAGGGCAAAAGGTTCATGACACGCCTCAGTGTCGCCAGATAAAGGACAGCGCCGTTCAGTCAGCTGAGAGAGATCCATCGGGATCCCCCTTCACTCGATTCAACGAAAGAAAGTCGGGAACCCTGCATTTTCGAGGACAATCCCTCCATTCACCATGTCTCGCCTGAGGACCATAAATGACCTTGACCTGTCACATCGAACCCGCAAGTGTCTTTAAAGGCCAAACACGAGGAGATATCGTTCTTATATCTTTTCGTGCTCATACGTTTCCCCTCAATTGGCTTCTGTGCTTTCCACTTATTTCGAGGCAGATCGAAGAATCCGAAGGAAACATCTACCCGATTCCCTCTCAGTCGAGACAGTTTTTGCCTGTCATTCGAAAGCGAAGACACGCACCCCGCATTTCCCAGTCTGGAGGAATCACTTGGGCTCTCTCCCACCGTTCGAATTGCGCAAGGGGGATGGGAATTCGCATGTTGACGTCGGCGTGCGTCATTCCTGGTCTGGCGTCATTCCTGGTCTGGCGTCATTCCTGGTCTGGCGTCATGGTTTTTATCTTAGTGCGATGGGAATCGGAGTTCTTCGATGAGGGGACATCCCGGATGCGCTTTTTTTTTGTCGTCCGAATCGTAACTTTAATCGCGAACTGGCCGCAGTCGTGACTCTCGACGAAGTCTTCATCGACGATTTAAGAAAAGGGGGATGGGAGTGGGTTGTGTAAGCCCAGTCGACAATTTTTCGTCGGGCCATCGATGGCTTTTCGTCGACGCGTCTATGAGCCGTAGTTGGGCCATCACCGGCATATGGTTGCCTTATGGTCCTTATGGGCCACGTTGGCCCATCGTGGGACCGACTTCGGCTCGTTGTGGGGAAGCCGCAAGGGTCACAACCACGAGCCGACTTTTCACAATGGCGAAAAGATATGAGGAAAAAAAAGGACTCGAGGCGCGTCGATGGCATCGTGCATCTCGGAGAAAATAGAATGAATCCTTTGGCTCCCTTTCCATCCGGAGGAAACGATGGAATCGGTACCTTGCCCGAGTACCTCACACGGGTACGCTCCTGTCACTAAGAGCTGAGCACATCCAAAGCGACAGCCTTTCTTAAGGCATCCAGGATCGCATGGGAATGCAAGGGTCGTCCCACGGGGGGCCGGGTCGCGCAATGCGACAGATCAACGTCTCGAAGGCGACGATGAAGTCCGGTGGCCTGGCGTGGGAAGGATCGATAGAAGGATCCTCCCACGGACATCCGGGCAGGAACTTTCTTGGTTTATTCCAGGGCGAGGTTCCAGCTACAGAGAAATGAGGAATTCAATCCTCTTCGTAGGAAACCGTCGGGAACTGCGTGAAAGGGGCAGGGGACTCATTTCATTCCCGGGAATCCACTCCCCAACTGCGACAACTCTGGCTCCATCTCGCGCCGATTTTCGGAAGCTTCTCAGTCGCATCGGCTCATCTTCGGCGAAGGATTGGCCGGCCCACTCACGAGTGACTCACAAGTGTGCGTTGGCCAGCCAATCGTTCGCCGAAGACGAACCAACTTCCCCAGCTATGGCCCAACGACAAACCAACGAAAATTTTCGACCGGAAGGGTTCATTCGTGTTGATCCTATCGGAGATTAGCTCAAACCGGAGGCCAGCGGGCCGGATCCGGCCGGATCCGGCCGTTCGGTCCGTTTTGTCCGGCACGCGAAGTCCTCGTCAACAGTTGATTGCGGAAAAGTACCGTGAATTTCAGCCTGGCTGCATTGAAGATCAGGTGTTACGTCTGTGTTTTGGCCACTATTATCCCTTGAAGGCTTCCATCCGGCCCCCAGTCTAATCGAATCCAAGAATAATACGTTCACAAGAATAATACATTCGCAAGAATAATATATTCAATGGATTCATGAAGGAAAGCCAACAGATTATTAAGCAACACCTATTGCATCTGGTTTTTCAAGTCAAAAATGCAATCGCCTGTGCCTGCTGCTGAGTTTCCAGGTTCGGATATTCCAACGGGAATTTCCCCGAACAGGATTCCAACGAAAGGGAAATGGATGGACTTGAATGTCGTTCTTCTTTCCTTCAGAGCGGAACGGCGCAGCGGTCACTTCGAGTTTCGTGGAATTGCGAGGAGTTTCATTCGTTTGAATGTAGGGCAAATATTTGGATCGGAGTCTGCTGAGGAAATGGAAACATGCATAGGCTGAGCGACGTTTCGCAAGCTGCCGATATCGAAGAAAAGGAAGGCAACACTTTCAAAATGCGAATGTGTCAAAACGCCTGAAATTAGCTAATTCCCTTCCTGATGCAACGCGATGCGCGTGGAAAGCTTGCGCGAAAGAGACGACGTCGACGTGCGTGCATCACGTGACGCGTTTCGGGTGGGAACGCCGCCAGTTGGGCGAGAACGCATGGAGAATATAAAGGACGTATAAAGGACGATCGAAAGACATCGGGCGGGAGGAGGCCTGAGGTCACGATGCTGCGATATCACTTCTGCCTCCTTGCCTTCTTCCAGGCCCTCCTCGCTCAAGGTGATTCATTACATTTTCATTGATGGTATTTTCGATCCTTTCGTGAGGGATCGCGGTTGACTCGGCGCGGTGATTTCCTTCTCGAGTGATTCCGGGTTGTTGGCTTCCTGTCGGCATGAAGTCTTTGCCATGCGCTTGCGTGAAGTCTGCGAGAAAATGCTGTAAAGCGTGGTAGCAGGAATTGTTGCCTGATGGATTGAAGAGTTATATTCCCGGAACGCATCCATTTACATTTGCTTATGTAAATCTCTTTTGTATCTTATGTAAATCACAGTCTCTGTAATATGAGGGAACGATGATGTGCAACTTACTTGAATCTCTATGGTCGCTAAAGGGGGATCTCTCGAGGGTTTCGAGGAACTGGTCGAAGCACTTCGGGCCGGACATTACGTATCCGGCAATTTCCATACCGGCTTATGTGAGGAGAGCAACACCACTGAATCTGTTGTGAGTCCCATGTGAACCTTCCAATTCTTTCCTTTCATTTTCTCGAGGATACATGGACTCGAAATCTCAAGTCCAATCGTATCTACCGGAGTACCCCTTTAATATATGATTAATCCAAAGCGAGCATGGGAATTCCTCAAGAACGAGGAATCGAGGAAGTTGCCATTCTTTTAGGTTTATTATTATATTATAATGATTTGGCACCCGATTTCGCACCCATATCGGTACGGCACTGCGCGGAATGGTTCCTTAAACACGAACGCTTAAAAACGAAAGCTGAGGTTAGACAAACGCCTTCGTTCGAGTAGTTTTCCACACGGAAAAAATGAAATAAAAGTTCCTCCGCGTGATTATAGGAATTCCTCAAAACTATTGCGGCCTGCTTGGTTTTAGAATTTTAAATAATATGTCTGGATCTGTCCGGTCATGACGCTCATCTGGTGACCAAAGGGGGTCGCGGCTCTCCGGGCCGGGCATCGCGTCACTGGCAACTACAACAGCGAGTCGTGCGAATCGTCAAACACGCCGGAGCCAGTTGTGAGTTCCATGGGACTTCCCCGTTATTTCTCTTCGCGACACTTTTCGTGACGGTTTTCTTGGAGCAGAGAAATTGCGTGGGACTACCTAGGGACTCGTGTCGGGTGTCTGTGATGACCCCGACGATGTTAGCTATTTCGAAGTTATATTGACAGCAACTTCATTTACTGAGGAAAATTGTCCAATCCTTTCCTCGTGCAAATAAATAATGTTCGTCATGGTTGAAAGTTGTCAAATCATCTCGATGATGTTCATATGTTGCCTTCAATTAAAAGTTCCCAGCGGATCGCAATGTCTCCTCGATGTTAAACTCCGTAAAAAGAAATTACGATCTGATGGCAGAGACCATGGCTCAATATTTCTATTTACGATGACATTTTTGCATAGAGAGTTCCCTGAAATCAGCCGGATTCATGTGAATAATATTCTACGGGTACAACTAAGTACAAAAGCGGGGAAAAAAATCGAATAAGCGATGGTCAACTATTGGAAGGCCAGGTTCGATAACCGCGGTGTAAGTTGAAGAAACCCAGAGCCGACTGCACCGGTTACGATTTCGTTTTTTTTTTTTTTAAGCGATTATTATGATCGAATAGAAGAGGCGACACGGACTCGGAAGATTGCATCAGGAACGTCCAGAGCAAAATCTCCAGTGGAGCGAATTAGCAGGTGTGGGCAGTTAATTATTATGGTTCAGAAGGCAAATTCATTGTTGGGCAGAAATGATGTGTACTTAATTAATTACCATGATTATGGTGAAAAAGCCTTGATTATTTCCCCTGTCTAATGATCCCATAATTGTCAGGGTATTCAGAGGTTATTTACTTTATATACGTTATACTTTATATACGTTATACTTTTATACGTTATACTTTTATACGTTATACTTTTATACGTTATACTTTTATACGTTATACTTTTATACGTTATACTTTTATACGTTATACTTTTATACGTTATACTTTTATACGTTATACTTTTTGAAGAACTAACTCGATGTGGTTGTGCTGGTCAGTTGCTGTCTGTGCATTTCGACACGTGGCAACATACGGAGATCGAGTCGGAAGTTCCGACCGTGGTCGCCCTTCAGTCCTTCGCCACGCGTGAGACCGACGTGAGACGTGAGTTCGCGTCTGGCGACGTGGAGGTTCGCATGGCGTTTTTTTCATTTTTTCAGCCGATGGGACGTTCGTTCTGGTCTATTCGTTCGTGAGTTCCGACGGGCACGCGATGTTCGATTCCTATGAGATCGAGGGCGAGACCGGTCTCGTCGTGAACAACTACGGCGCGGATTGCACGGCTGGGGTCGGGGCATTCTTCGTGGAGAGGGGAAGCCATCAGCCCGAGTGAGTTTCTCTCTTCTTCCGCCATGGCGAATCAGTAAATTGTTAGCGAGGTCGGCCGTGATTCCCAGGTCGGATGGAAATTTGTCTCTTTTTGGTCAGAATTCATTAACTCTATTCGTGGAGTAGACAATAAGTCCAAATTGTGCGAATGTGTTGGAAATATTGATGACAATTATGAACTGATTTCGGCAGGGGATGTATTTGAGGATATGCAATCATTTTGGAATTTTATTATTCCAAAATTCCAAATCCCGAAATCGTCCACTGACTTCATTATTCTGGAGCTAAAACGGCATCGGGGAAATTTCTCAGAAAATTTTTTCACGGGAGGTGACATATAGGTGAATTCCTGCTGGAGCTTACACAGTCGTAGCTTTGACCAATTTTGAGACACAAGTGTTCCAAAATGAAAGGCCGAGACCTTCCGCTCCTCCATGCAAAAAACGTGCGGGATACGATAATATGTTCGCATGAAAGATGATCTCCCTCGAATGGATGCATATTACACTACAATTGTACATTTGTTACTCCTAATGAATTCACAATGGGAGATTGGCCTTTAACGGGAAAAAGCTCAAGAGTTGGATGTTACACTGAAGCACTACGCTGGGAACGTACGACGAATTGCTGACGGCATTGCTGGAAGGGCGTCGATTGACCATCACGGACGTCGCCACTGAGTGCGAGCATCCCCTGCCGGCGGAGGTCACTGTCGCCGAGGGCGGATCCACGTATTATCAGTATTACGTCTTGCCTGGTTTGTATTGCCGGTTGCTTCGCTTGGTGCGTGACGAAGGCACGATGACCTTTCCCCCCACCCCCAACCCCACCCCCCTTAGATGAGGCAGGGCAGGTGCTCGTCGTGGAATTCCCGGGCGTGGCACTAAGCGTGAACGAGGGCGAGACGGTTTATACTGTGGTCAGGCTATTCGTTTCCCAAGATGGATCCGTCTTCGTTTCGGCCAATTACTTCAATACTCAAACATGGGAAGACGAATATCCTTATCCCGAAGGATTCCAGTGCGTCCTCGGAGATTCCGTCAGATTTCATCACGCCTCAGGTAAAACAGACATCCGCTGGGCCCTTTCCTCCTCGCCCGGGAAGATATTCGCTCTCTCAATTCGAACAATTTCAGTGAAATTGAAGCGGCTAGAGTGAATTACAGGCCGCAGATTAATGCGGCAATGGATTAAATTCTCGTCGCAAGAAGCGGATAGGGATAGGAAAACTTAAGTGATTATCCAAACGTTAAATCGCAAGAAAGTGATTCGAACTAAACCAAAGGATATCGAAGGAAGATTAAATGGATACAGCGTGAAAAGTGTATTGGTCTCAACGGTAAATTGCAATTTTATTTCTGAGGGCTTGCAAGTGCTCTATGAGAAAAGCTGCTGAATATTGTTAAGTAAAAAATTGCAGATTTATTCCTCTGCTTCTGAGCATGGCGTCTAGGGGCATAAAATGCACATTTTTACATAAAGTTGTATCCGATATTTTTTCATAGCAGGGTTAAGAAGATTATGTATCAAAATTCCAAAGCGCGAAATCTTTGATTTGTTAGAATTTTTTGCTGCGGACGAATTATCCACGAGAACTTCTTGGACTGTCTTTATATTTGAATCATTTCCTCGTTTCCAATTCCAGGCGATTCTTACGACTCGTTTGAAACGTATGACGACTTGGACGAGGCCTTCCTGAATGGGAAGGACATTCGCGTCTCGTTGGATTCCACCATGTGCATTTCACCGAACGACACTGCGCCCGAAGTTCTCGTGAGTCCTTTAGATATAGAGGCCTTTAAATGAAGAGTTTACTCTCGCATATTGTACATTTCAGAGTGTTTACATATTTGTCTGATCCAACAGAATCCCTCAGAAAGTGTTTTCTTATGTCGCAGGGAATTTGAAGAGGGCCTACTCCACAAATACGCGGTTTTGATCGCTAATTATTGATAGGTTTCAAATGAGCAAATGAGGTAACCAAAAATACTTTTTATTGGCCCCATTACAATTGGTTACAATTGGCCCTCGTGCGTAACGGAATATGAGGTGCTGAAATATACTTTAAAATACGAATACTTTTATGGGGGGTTTACCAGTACTAGAATGTGTTTACAATCTCTTCTATATTTGTGGAATTTTTAAGCTGAAGAAATAACTTTTTTGTTAGGTAATCCATGAAATGAGGCAAAAATGTGAATAAGCTCTCGAGTTTTTCCACTAAATTTTTTTCTTGAAAAAAAAAAGGGTTGAATAGTTTCAGTGGAACCCTCGATAAACAATGCTAAACGACATACCATAATTTTGATGAGAAATGTCTCACATATGTAGTAAGAATGGTGAGAATGGTGACTTCTAGAAGCACCTATGAAAAGCCAATTGGTGATTCCAATTTCGAGGTGAGATTACTGCCATTAAATCAGCAAGCACCGCTCTGGTCAGTCAAATTAGCAGATACTGATGCCATTTTTCCTGGGCGGAAGACGATGGATTGTCATCGGGAAAAGTCGCGAATACATATCATGATAGGTATTTTATGCCTATCGTAGTTGGTATGAAGATACCTATTTGAATAGGCATCACGATAGAAACCAATACATTGTTCTTGCATACCGAATTAAGCAAATTATAGAAATATCGCATGATACCTACCAAGAGAGCTACCACGCAATTGGCTATCAAGCGATTTGTTCTTGCATACGGGCCACTGTCACGGATTCTCTTGTGGACCTCTTTGAATAAACTGAGATTACAAGAGAGTTGCCAGTGCTACGCCCCAAGCATCAGGAATCATTCCAATCCTTTTTAAAATGTGCGATGGTGAGGAATTCTCAAAGTGGTCTCGCTCGTCCAAGAGTCTGTGCTGCATTTACAGCCTTTTCCCCCTTGAATTCGGCGCGAGGAACTCCCTTTCCACGCGTGTCTGAGTCAAGCGAACGATCGTCGAACTCTAGAGGAAGCCACTGAATTACGGCATTTGCAACGCCAGGAACCCAAGAAGCATCGACGGGACTGCCTTACGTCAATGGATGAATCCTCCAACTTGAGAAGCAGCTGTTTGTCCAGTTCCCTCAAGTTCTCACGTTTCGACTGAATCACAATGATGGACGGGCCATCGGTATCCATTACTAACACGTATAAAAATTCAATAGCACGAAAGCGTCCGATCCAAATGAACTGCAATCGAGGAGAGGACTTACGTGCAAAACTGGAATGCGCATGCGCATTGGGACAGTGTGTGGAGGATCCACCGGATTGTGAGATTGCCGGGGAGAAGTGGGAAGGTGGGGTTAGCTAACCCCGACACGAGTCTTCGATTCATCAACAGATACGGGAGGATCAGTTTAGCTCGGGGCTATTTGACCCCGCGTAGAAGTTAACCCGTTGCTAACTTATCCCTCCATTCATCAACCGACCCGTAATGGGATACAGTTCTGCTTGGGAGCGAAAGGGTTAATCGTGCCCTACATAACGTTTTCGTTCTGACTGCTCTTCACTTAAAAAAAAATGTCCGCATTACTTAGTTGGCTTACTTAAATGGAGAGCATTCGAGATTAAGCTGTCAGATGCTGGATGCGTCAAAAGAGACTGTGACTTTAACCAGTCACCGCAACCTAGATGTTTGAATGGCTAGAGCATGAGATGAGCACGAGTCGCATTGGTGAGTTGTCGATTGAGACGAAATACACGGATGAATTTGTGGATTCATTTCTGTTGCTCGATGGGAGAAAGAACGTATCCCTCGTAATATTTTTGATTTCGCTCGGAAAATGGATTACCTTCGATTGCGACTTCGTATCGTGGGCGCCAGATTCCCATTTAATATTTCCATTGCATCATGATAAAAATAAAAAAAATTCATTCTCCTATTTAGTATGTTGGAGTCGACGTGGTTACTTGGCTGCGGCAGGAGGAAGTGGAGTTCCCGGGCATCTTCTTCTCTCCAAATTCTCCAAAATTACGAGATCAACCTACCTTTTTTTTACAACCTATTTTTTTTTTACATAGTCTTCGGAGACATGATCTTGCAAGAATACTACGTGGCCCCCGACAACGTGCTCTACGTGAAGGTTTCCATCTTCAACCCAATCGCGCCCGACGACGTCCCAGACGTATACTTGTTTCAGTGCGTGATCGGTGAGGGGGCCGCCTTCACCGCACCTTCCTTTGGGAGGTGAGTCCCTTCGTCTCACCTGGGGAGACAAGAGGTGATTAAGATTAAGATTAAGATTAAGATTGAGGAATTATCCGTGATCGTAGGACGGAGTTGATGGATTACGTGGCGGTGGTGGAGGCGGAATTGAATGGAGCGAAGTTGTCTGCAGAAATCGACTTCAATGAATGCGTGGATCCGACAGGTGAAATTGATCTCAGGGGTGTCAGGGTCGGGGCGTATCTTCAGGATCTCATCGTTTTCAGTCCTGCAAGTGAGATTTTATCTTGCCATCTTCCTTGCCGAATGCATTTTTTTTCAGGAGGGTTTCGAAAGGTGTTATCTTATTGGTTTTCGTTCTATAATACTTCCAGCCGCCGAAGCAAGGCTTTTCTCGTCGGCGTTTACTTTGAGCAGCGATCCGATCAGCCGTTTCGCCTACGAGACCTTCGGCGTCACCCTCGACGCAAGCAACAACGCCATCGTCTTCCCAGGCTTTTGGCGGTACGATGAAAACGGCGAATGGGGCAACGCGTTCGGCGAAACGTTCTTGGAATGCATGAAAGTAATGTCGCACATCTACCTCTTGCAAGACAAGATCCCCAGCAGCACACCATAATGGGGCCAACATTGGCTGCAAGTGGGCGAACTTGGGCCCACATCACAGTGAGCTGCCCATGTAGGCTCATCATCGACGCGAGGGCGGCTGTCAACATCTGCCATGTCTCAGGATGAAAGATCTATCTCAGTTATGTGAACAAAAAGATTCCCACAGAATAAAAGAGATGGCGGGTGTGTAGCCACTGTGGGATCAGGAAGTGATTCATTAAGACTCCAGTGCCTTTCTTGCGGTACTTGATCCATTTCCATAGAGAACGTACAGGGAGACACTTGGATTTCTCAGTTCATTTTGTTTAAACACGTTACGCCGTCCGAGGAGAATCTTGTTAATCGAGGAGGATGCATCCCAGCAAACTAAGTAGCGTTGTGGGAACGTTCCTCTAGAGTCAATGCAACGTCATCGACGTTGAAGGTATAAGTCCGACGTTGCGTGAATAGCGGTGTTATGGCACTGTAATACTTTCGTAAATCGCATTTTTGAATTGTATTTATGGTATTAATTGTATCATGCATCAACAAATAGGGAATACATTTTTTTTTCAAGAAACGACCAAGAACCTATCCTTTGTTACCACCCCAGTAGCACCAGATATTGGCTCAATGCTGGACCGATTTCCATACATCTTGTCATTATTGTCAATACCCCTCAATATTGGCTTTCCAATATTGCCAGTCCATCATCCATAAGTTCTCCTCTTGACCACTAGATGGAGGCACGGGTCTCGTTTTTCACACTATACATAAAAGTTCACTTCCCTGACAGAATATATACATTTCTTCTGGACACATATTTCATCCATATATTCAATGGGGATGTGCTAGTGCACATATGGAATCGCTATCTCTTTTGACTGACGATGAATCAGTCAAGTGACGAGCGTGAAGAAAGTCTAGTTTCAGAAAAGTGTTATCTGACTCAATCCTGGCACATTCTTCCGGACCAATACGAAGAAATGATTATGGGACCCATATAAGGAAGTCAAATGGCACATTAAACAGTGAAATTTTTTCTGCGTAAAGACCGGCCTGAGATTTTGCCATAGATCGGGACCGTAGACTATTACCTTGGTTAGTGATTAATTCATTCATTTTTTGTGTAATGGGAAACACGTATTTAAAGTACGTCCAAAAATTCCCGAAGGGGATGTATCGAGACTTGACATTTTTATGTAACTCTTTGTCTCAGTAGTCACATTCATGCAAAGTTTCAGCTTTCATGTTCATCAGTTTAACTGATGCAAAAAAATTAGTTAAAAACATCTCCCTTTGAAATTCGTGTCACCGCATTTGCTTCCAAAGTCGGAAGTTTTCTGCAGCATCCCAATAGGTAGTTATGTACCAAGATTCATCTTTCCACACTAGCTCAATACGCCAGGACGGAAAAAAAATAATTGAAAAAAATTTCCCCAGGGCATGGATCTACAATTTTTCATTTTTCCTGAACTCATCGTGTCGGTAGGCACGTCCATGCCAAGTTTCAGCTTTCCATGTCTCTCCGTTTTATTCAAGCAAAAATAATGTTATGGAGGGGGAATGAGTTACGGGACATGGAAGGCAAAAGAGCCAAAAGAAAGCAAAGGCGG